GCTCCCGCAGGCCGGCGCGCAGCTCCCGGCGGGCAGCGCCCGGGCGCCCCCGCGGCCTCGGTGCAGCGACACCTCTCAGCCTCCGCTTCGAGAGGCCGCGGTAAATCCTGCGCGGTCGTGGCCGGGCCAACTTCGCGCTTATTTTTTGTCTTTAATGACTTCCGCGGTGGGACTGACGGCGCAGCGCAACTTCACGTTCGTTTCAGGTAAAGCCCCACGCTAGCGAGCGTCCGCTGTCTGATTGCGTGTTCTCGCTTTGTGTGTTACGCAAGGTAGCTGCAGCCGTGCGAATATGCCGCAAACCTGGCAGAACTGAAGGGAAGCCCAGCTTGTGCCCCCAAAGTTTGCTCGGGCTCTGGCGGCGGGCCCCGGGCTTGCCGCTGGGCCTTAAGGATACGGCTGCGTTCTCGCTGCACCGTGGCATCCGCGGGTTGATGGCCCAACAGCAGCCTTTCGTCCCCCGCGTTCGCTGGAGCGGCTCTTTTCGCGGGCTTGGATTGCTGTCGTCTGGTTACAACTACAATTTCTTTTTTATGTTGCTACGCATGGTTACGCTCCCTCCGCTGCGCGTCTGGAAGAAAATTCAGCAGAACACCGGGGGGGAGGGAGGGAGACAAGAAGACGCCGCAGTCGGCAATATTCTGAAAATTAAAATAAGTCTCAATTTAAATCTTTTCTTTTTTAGTATCGATGACTGAACTGAGTTACTTTTTGACGGGGCACCGAGACTGCCCAAGACCTAGGCTGCATTAGGGATAAGTTCATTCCCCTGGGCTGAGCAGTTGCTTGTAATACCGGAGCGTGTCCGGCTGCATCAAGTGGAGGACGTTAATTCACATCTCCGTGCTTTAGTCCAGTGGAGTAGCATGCCCTCTCCCCCTCCAAATAGAGCAAGAGCCTCATAGAGGTAAAAAAAAAGTTGCAAAAGCAATTCTTTCAATCGCATGCAAATTCAACATGTTCCATAGTAGCATATAAAAAAGCTACGGGAGAGCAACACCAAGCTCAAATGCAAAATAATGAGTCCCTTCTTCCCACCTCGCCAAGCCTGGCAAACTTTACCAGGCCAGTGGAAAACAAACAAACAAACGGCAATAGAAAAACCTTTATATATCAGGCTAACAGGAAAATAAGGCTGCGGCTTATTCTTTCCGGCAATAATCAACTCTGCTGAAGGCCCCCCGTCTCCTTTTTGAAATAGCTCGCCGAGGGTTGTGATGCCTGTGAAGAAGCATTTGCTCGGCGAGGGAACAGCTGTCAGCTGCATGCTGGTTTTTCCTCCCTGGGAACCGGCTTTAGCGCACTGCAATGCAGGCGATGCTTCGCAGTAACAGTAAACACTTAGGACGTTTATCACGTATTGCTTGTACCTACATGACACCTATCGTTTTAAATCTGACAGCTAAGATAACTGTGATTGCAGTGGAACAGCACTGATTTTCTAAGGTGAAGATAAGGCTGAGAGACTGACCCAGTTGCACGTGCCTCCCTCCTACTAAATCCTTAAAAATTAAAATAACTCCAGACACTTTTTTTTCCCCTAAAGACTCTTGTGTTTTGCTGAAAGTTTTCCCTATCACAGAAATGGGTTGCCTATAGGAAGCGATGACCTATTGAGACTGGTGGAGCACTAATGAGCGCCTTCATTTTTCAGCAAACAGGAAGGTCTACGCTGCAGCTAATAGCATCTGCCCATGCAGCAGCAGTTCTGCGGGGGAGATCCTTATCTGATCAAGTAATTAAGGTTGCCATCGAAAAAAGCATTAGCAGAAGGAGTCCAAACTGCAGTTGCATGAGCAGCCTCAGTCCTCGAACGCCTGTGCTTTCTGAATGCCGTATTTCACGGCTTGCGCAGGCTGGTAACGCCTTTCTTAGAGGGGACGTACGCATGCCGCCTGGGGTATGAACGGCGTGTTGGAAGGCATCGCTGTCCCCTGACAGCGGGAGTCCTCGTGCGTTTGGTGAATGAGAGATGTGGTCGTTTCCACCACTTCTTGTGCCGTCACCTCCTGCCTTAGGGGAACCCAGCAGTCAAACTCCCTCCGCAATGAAAGCGGTTACGCTAAGCTTGGGCAATTCTGTGGTGCTAGTGCTCAGTCTAGCAGTGTCTTCCCAGAGCTGGAGACCAGGATTATCCCCAGCCGTCCCTTGAGACTTGTCCTGCCTTCTCTTTTGGCTCTCTGTCACCCGGTGTACACCTTTCTCCTGGAGGCTCACCCATTTGGGGGTATTTGGACTAGAAATTAAAGCTTCAGGAATAAGTCATAGTTTACATAACAGACACTCAGAAAAAAAGACACTAGTCATGTAAGAGCATGACCGGACTAATGAGGAGAGGCGTGGGGAAAGGCCGGTGATGCTGGCAAACCGCTGGGCTGCAGAACCCCCTAACACAGCATCCTTTGTGCCCACCCTTCCTTCGGGACCACCCGTGCCAAACAAGTCCCCGTCGTGTCCCCCCCCCGCTGCTGTGGCCGGTTAGGCTGGGTCCTGCCCGATCCAGTTGCTTTTCTGCTTCTGTGCATGATCTAGAGGGCTTTCTCCATGTGATAGTCCTCTTAGGAAAGGCTCGACTTCCTTACTCAGCTCTTGATGAGTTAGTGCACGTCCCAGTTCACCCCAAAAAGCCAAATCTGGTCAAGTTCGTACCGCCCTGTCTCTTCCCAGCTCCTTCCTCAGCATATCCATGCCTCAGGAACAGCTCCTTCAAGCTTAGTGCTCCTGTTTATTTCCATCAAATCAACATGTATTGAAAAATCGGTGTGTATCCACCAGTGCTGACTAACAAAATGACTCCTGAGACAGCAGTTTTCTTGCAATAACTCTGCAATAACCAGAATTTGTAATTCATACACAGTTTTCTCAAACCCTTACCACAAGCTTGTTCAATATGATGACTATATCTACTCTACCAGTAATTTCTTTGGGGCTTTCCTTTATTAAACAACAATACAAATTTTAGAAATTGAGAAATCACCCTGATTTCTTTCACAGTCATTCATCCTGTGCTCGAGTTAACTACCTGTGGCTCTGCAGACACATGCTTGCTGTGTTAGTAACTTAGACTAAGACATGGGAGAAAGTATGCTGGGAATTTCTTGCAAGCAGAGCTTTTTCACGATGTTGTACAAAACCAGTTGACAAAGGAAAAAATGTCAAATGCCAATTCATTAAGAATATCTCCTATGAGAAAAGTAATAACTGAGCGATCGCCTTAGAAAAACCAAAACACTACGGAGGAAAAAGACGTGTGCTATTTCTGAAAGCTACTAAACGAAGAGATGAGTGAGTTTTTTGGAGGCATAGTACTGCTTTGGGTCTTCTGGAGAAAGGCAAGAAAATATAATCTCTTAAGTATGTTGTCATCCAAATAAAAACTGTATTAGATCATTAGATCATCTTTTGCTCAGCACTGGTAAATCTTTCTTTTTCTGCCTCCACTGAGTTACGTATTTGGTCTTGCTCCAAGGGCAATCGTGCCTCTGCAGCCAATACTGCTCACAACAGCACTCTGTCTATAAAATTAATCTAATGCAGGAAAAAAGCAATGTCTCCAAGTTCTTTTCCAAAAGCATAACATGTAGTAATCTAAAGGCTAAGTCCAGCAGTCTTAGACACTAAATCAGCGTGAGTTTTGCTTCAATAAGCACTGTAGGCTCTTCCCAAGGTATATTAAAACTGTGTAGCTTTTTTTTTTTGGTGTGTGTTGGTTTACATCAGGCAGCTTGTGCCTTTTC